GAGAGGAGGACTCACCCAGTCTGCCCAGGACCGGCGAGCTCAAAGGGACCCTCCCGCAGTGAGGGGAGCACAGCCATGTCCGGGGCAGATAGATCGCAAATGGGACATCAGAAATGGGATCCTGCTAGAAGGGGATCACACATTTCTAAGGAAACAACAGGGTCCCAACATAAAGGCAACTGACCAAGGAGGTGACAGAGACGGGCCTAACACTTAGTTTGCTGCAAATGGGGTCCTTCGGGAGCAGTGCTCTCGGCTCTCAAGCTGAGGTGGGCCCTTACATCACATACTGGGAGCAACTCATAGCTAACCCTCACAGAGAGGGGAGCACTTCTCAGCTCGACTAGAAGGGGGCGCTAGATTAGAAGGGGTAACCCAGCAGGTCCCAATAAGAGACAGTCCACTGGTGCAGTGACTGTGGCACGCTCACAGAACAGATTCCGAAGCATCTGCTTACAGACCACAAACGCTCAGACGGGAGCTGCAGGCTCAAAGAAAACCCTCTGAGGTGAGAGGAGCACTGCATGGCTTGACCCGAATAGAGGCAGTTTATCAGGGAAGCAGCAAGTGGCCCAACTACCTGATGTCACTGCCATGGAGCTCAAGAGCAGAGGGTTCAACCCCTAGCGAGGAGAGAGAGGAATCCAGCTCAACCAAAGCGAGCAATAGCCCAGGGTAGAGGACCTAACTCTCGAGTCGAGAGGAGGATTCACCCAGTCTGCCCAGGACTGGCGAGCTCAAAGGGACCCTCCCGCAGCTGAGGGGAGCACAGCCATGTCCGGGGCAGATAGATCGCAAATGGGACATCAGAAATGGGATCCTGCTAGAAGGAATGACTCAAATCTCGGGAGACCCCTCAGGGTGAGAAATGAGTAGCGCAGCGAAGTAGCGAAGTCCGAAGCCTGGACCTTTGTGGAATGAAGGATTTAAAGGCAGCCGAGCATGTCTTGGCCTCCTTAAACTTCACGACCACCGTCTCGAAGGAGAAACCGGCACATCAAGAAGAAAGCCCTTCTCTTTCGACCCGATATCCACCAGACTCACCCACAGATGTCTCTCCGTAACCACCATGGCTGCCAATGGCAGTGGCGGCCTGCTTAGTGGCACGGAGAGCAAGATCCGTGGTGTGACGCAACTCAGCCACCTCATCAGGGGATAGACCCTGGCCTTTATCCAGGTCTTTCAGCAGATCAGCCTGAAAAGCCTGAAGCACCGCCATGCGCCACCGCTCCAGAGACTTCCGCGACTTACTTCCTGTCGTGTGCACGCGCTGTCAAGTGGCCAAGACTGCAAGTGTGGGTATTTGGACAAGGGGATTGTCATTTTTAGATGTATGCTTCAGACACCGGTCACGCTGAAGGCGTTCCCCATAGCGACCCGGTTTCCACAGAAACACAAATCCCTCTTACCTCAGGTAACGCAGTGTACTCCAGCCCACTCCGTAGAGGGGTGATTACTGGTTCAACCATAAGGGCAGTTTGACAGTGAGGACCCACAGGCCCGACCGTCTATGGAGCGTTGAGCTCCTCAACACCTCAGCGAGAGGAGCTCTAGCTCAGAGAACGTGCATGAAGGTTAAGGAACGACTCAAATCTCGGGAGACCCCTCAGGGTGAGAAATGAGTAGCGCAGCGAAGTAGCGAAGTCCGAAGCCTGGACCTTTGTGGAATGAAGGATTTAAAGCAGTAGAGTAGATAAAAATGGATCGTACTCACCAACCATGGCTCCCGCGCATGACTCCGGCTCATGATATAGGCTGGAGGCGAAGTCCGAAGCCTGAACCCTCGTGGAATGAAGGATTTAAAGGCAGCCGAGCATGTCTTGGCCTCCTTAAACTTCACGACCACCGTCTCGAAGGAGAAACCGGCACATCAAGAAGAAAGCCCTTCTCTTTCGACCCGATATCCACCAGACTCACCCACAGATGTCTCTCCGTAACCACCATGGCTGCCAATGGCAGTGGCGGCCTGCTTAGTGGCACGGAGAGCAAGATCCGTGGTGTGACGCAACTCAGCCACCTCATCAGGGGATAGACCCTGGCCTTTATCCAGGTCTTTCAGCAGATCAGCCTGAAAAGCCTGAAGCACCGCCATGCGCCACCGCTCCAGAGACTTCCGCGACTTACTTCCTGTCGTGTGCACGCGCTGTCAAGTGGCCAAGACTGCAAGTGTGGGTATTTGGACAAGGGGATTGTCATTTTTAGATGTATGCTTCAGACACCGGTCACGCTGAAGGCGTTCCCCATAGCGATCCCTAGAGGACACAGTTCGAAATTCCCTTGAAAGGGAACTGGTTCTAGTTATTGTAAAAAAACAAAAAACTAAAAACTAACATTTATGTATCAGTATTCACATCATTTTCTTAAGTGTGTATTACTAACCATTAGAGATTTTATATCAACAAATCCATAAAGCCATAAATATTTTATGGAGAAACAGTTAATACTATTGTGCCTGTATATTATACATTTTTAAACATCTGCCTTTTCTACTGCAGAGTTGAGTAGTGAATTAGCTAAGAAACTAAATAATTGTTATAGTTTGGTTTAGATATGCATATTGTTCTATTAAGGCAATATCATAACATCCATCAAACAGTGCTTAAAAAAACACAATAAAACCCACATATACACAGATGTCATTTCGTATCTGTATTTATTTATTTTCATTTTTAATTTCAAGTTTCTTATAGTTGCAACTGAACAAGAGTATTTTGGTTTCAAGCAACATATAATGACCAATAAGGTACACGACTTTGTCACTCTTTATCAAAGAGGCACACAGAACAGAAGTGTTAGCACTCCACAGTTATTGTGACCCAAGTATAGAGATTGTCTTCTTCAAGTATGTTTAAACGTTTGTTCTCTGAGTAGTGCATAAACATTTCCATATAGCTAACATGAGAGCTCCCTCTACAGGTGTGCCCTGCAAAGTTCACGCCCATTCTGCTAAAACCAGGAAATATAAAATTGCATATCAATTTTATAAAATGAATAACACCATGAAAACACCAGTAAAACTGGTGATTGGAGACCACTTCTCTGTCACATACACATAAAAAAAAAAAAAAAAAAAAAAAAAAACCCAGCAAAATTATTAACAGTAACTAAAATGAAAATGGAAAAACAGCATTAAAAGATATTAAAACGGATTCAAAATATTGGTAAAAACTATAATAGTATTTCAGTGATACTAAAGTAACCCTAGTCTGGATTCACTTGAATGTTACATTACATCTAATGTTCAACTTTTTCCCACAAAAGAGCCTGGCCAAACACAGCAGAAGAAACATTGGTGCAGAAGGCGGACCTCCTCCATTCGTTCCCTTTGGACAGGTCAGAACTCCTTCAGCTTTTTTCATTGTGACCTTTGACCTTCTGGTTAATTATTAGGTTGATTTGACTGATTGGATGGATGGTGTATAATCTGTCGTCATCTCTCTGTAGAAATGTGCTCATAAGGAGCAGGTGGACAGCAGAGCTCTGGACCAGAGGAAGACCCTGCAGAGCACTAACGCTGTCAGATCTGCTGAAGACAACGATGAGTTTGAGAAACAAAGAACCGCTGCTATCGCAGAAGTCTCTGTCACATACACATAAAATAAAAAAAAAAACAAGATAAATGAGTAGAGATTGATGAGATAATACTGAGAAAATACTCAACAATGCGTGTGTTGATTCCTGAGCATTGCAGATGGAAATCAAGATTCCGCCTGAGACTCATGATCACAACAGCAATGCCCCCGTCATGTTTGTTGTTTCTCCATAGAAGATTTCTACTGTAAAAACTGGTTAACTGTAAGTTACTGTATACGTAAGTGGAAAAATTATAAATGGCTTAATATCAAATTATATATAATTTTACTGTAAAACGTGTAACGTAGCATATCCAAAATACCAGTCAAAAGATACAGGGAGACTCACAACATCATCCTGTGACAAATGGAGATATTGCCTTATCTCTAACTTATTTGTGAAGACAGTACAGCATAGCTATGAATTTCTACATGAATATTAAGAAAATATGGAAAGAAAAGTAATATAAAAGTAGCTAAACAGAGTAAATATATAAAGTAATATAAAGATATAAGACTATAATAAATGGTCTGGCGGGATAGTTCAGTTATCCAAGGAGCCCAAAAGGGCCCACGTCACACCTCTCTTTTCTCTCTCCACTGGTTAACAGTTGCGGCTCGCATCAAGTTCAAGACATTGCTGCTTGCATACAGATCAGCCACGGGCTCTGCACCCTCCTACGTCCACTCGCTCTTACGAGCCCACATCCCCTCCTGAAACCTAAGTCCGGTAAGTGAGCAATGCCTCATGGTACCATCACAGAGAGGCACAAAATCCCTTTCCAGAACATATACATTCACTGTTCCTTGCTGGTGGAATGATCTTCCCAACCCCTATCCGGAATGCCGAATCCCTGACAATATTTAAGTGACAGCTGAAAACTAATCTCTTCCATGAGCACTTAACTGCATCCTACTAAAAAAAAATCCTCAAGTGCTTTCACTTTTCCTTAATCTTGTACTATTCTAAACTATGTCTGAAACTTTGTATTATGAGCACTTGTGTTTATTTGCCTTTTTATGATGAATTGCTTGTGTATTCCAGATAAAAGTGTCTGCTAAATGAATAAATGTACATGCACATTACGGTGTTTTCTGTTTTAGTGTGATGCGATGTTCATTTATAAACGAGTTCTGGGATTGGTTTCAGGACAGGCCATTTATGATGAACTCTGAACCATCAGGTGGTTTTCTGTTTTAACACCTGTATTATAATGGTGGTTATCCATACAGTACATTGCTATATTATTCACATTACATACACAGGTTTTTTTTGTACAGTATTTAGAACCATTTCTCAACAATTAGGTCACTTTTTACTGTAGTGAGCGCTACAGCAGTCTATGTGGCTTAAACTGTGCATTATATATCATTGTTTGGCACAAAACGCATTCAGTGACTACATCATTCAAATTGCATGAATTCCTTTCTTGCTCAGACATAAAAACTTGCAGGCCAACTTGCACGTTGGCATACTCCTTTCAAAACATAAGCTCAAAAGCTCACATAATACAAAACTGAACAAGTTATAAAAGAAAATATTGTACACAATGCTACCAGTCGTGAGTGTATTTAGGTCATTGTTTTATGCGGTGACAATCTTTGCTAGTGTTATGGAAGGATGATTTGATTTGACACATGAAGTATGAAGTGTTTTGATAATTTTAGTGCATTCTGAATGTAAAAATAGCTGCTGTGTGAAGATGAAATTGTTGATAATGAGAACTGTGTGGAAATTTTTGAAAAAGTGACATAAGTGTTGAGAAAAGAGTCTTAGTAATTGTGATGAAACATACACGTTGTACTTTGATACAGCACATCACATGAGGCCTGGGACTGGTTCACATTAAAACATTTTCACAGCCTTTTGTATACTGAAATTATAATTTTGTAATTGTAAAATTGTAAATTAGTCCTCTCAATACTGTAACAAAAGCACCAGAACTCATCATTGATGTCTACCTCCACCACAATAGGTCATCTATAGAGAGAGCTTTTACATTTTCAGTGCATGCTGGTATTTGCATGACCGCACACAAGGTTTAGATGGGCTGCATAGATTAATGAGGGTCTGGACAACAACAAAGTTATATCTAGATGATATACAGACATTCCTAGGAACCTGTGCAGATGACGTTGAGTCGCAGGAACTGGGAAGTGAGTGATGACAAAAAAACTCCTTAGAAAGACGCTGTGGCAGAGTTCTGTAAAACAATGTTAAAAAATTTAATTAGAGGCTGTAACTTAATTACAATATGAAGTACATTTTAATTATGATTGGTGAACGAACTTACAACCAATGAAAATATAATGCCAATGCATAGAATGGAAATGAACATTACAATCATCTCTGGTCTTGGTTTTGTTCCTTCATTGGGGAGTCGTCTTTCTGGTCTCTCTGGAAGACAAAAGATTTACAAAAGATGAAGGAAAAACACACACAAAATGCGTGCATCGTTTCATAATGTCTATGCAAAAGAATACAGGCTGAAATATAAATATTTTTGTCAATTATTTGGTTTTACGCACTTTCAGTCAAAAGCTTAACAGTATGGTCTTCTGATTCCTCCATGATGATGTAGCATGTGTATTCTCCTGCATCAGTGTGTTGAAGGTTGTTGAGTTTGATGGAGAAGTTTCCTCTCATATACTCCTCAGGAAAGCTTTCAGTTCTGTTCTTGTACTGTGGATCCTGTCCTTCCACAGAGACTTTACCATAAATAATGTCATACACATTCAAGTCGTACTTGTTTCTCCAGCGCACTTGATTTATGTCTTGAATTGTAAGTGAAGGTTTTTTAGAAGAACAAGGTAAAACAGCAGAGCCTCCAATAAAACCCACAACAGTCTCCTGCAGAGACACTGAAAACAGAGAGAAAGTTATGAGCAAAAAAAATACAAAAGTGTGACATTGCTTAACAAATAATTGTTCATTTTAGTGCTCACCTTCATTTGCTAATAGAAACACATGCAGCAGATTAAAAAAACACCACCTGAGTAAACAGAAACAAATGATTAATTTCTCTCAGACTGAGCTACAGCATCAGAAACACGTACTGGACTAAATGCATAATATCTCAGCCTCTGAAATTAACGCTTTAGAGACAGTGTACTACTAGGCCGTTGTGAGATTAAAAATGATTGTCATCATATTTAAATTCTCTATTCTTTAAAAAAAAAAATCCCTATCTTTCTCTACTGTGGCTCTAGTGTCACAGAAAGAACATAAATCCATGCAATACTAAATGACCTTCAGTGGTTAAATCATTGTCTTTAGAACTGCTTTATATATCTATGTGATGTTTGTTTTCAAATGTATGTGCTGTTTTGAATTAAAATGCTTCAAATGAAACGAGGAATGAAATGCCTCAAATGTTTGGTTATGCAGTGTGTGAGAACTATGAGATCTGATGCTAGCTGAAGTTTCAGGTCAACACATGCATACACAGACGATATTTAATATGGTGACACGATCCTCAAATGTTGTGAATTTTCATCATGCAATGTACAAGAACTTTGAGACTTGATGTTAATTGACATTTCAGGTTCGTGTCAGTATATTTGATTTAGTCTGTGTGTACGCATGCATTGACCAATGTTTTGGTTTGACTCAAGAGTGAAACTTTAATCTGTTCAATTTACATATAAACATATATATATATATATATATATATATATATTTATGTTTATATTTTATAAATGTTATATATTTGTATATATATTTGTTTATAATTTTTTTCCTTAAAATTTTCCATAGTTGCCAATTAATTCTAATTGTAATGTCTAATTATTATAATATTCTGTTGTCTCAGATGTGTAATGAGAAATATTATGGTACATTTGGCTTTTCGTTTGTCCTTCAAAAACATCAGTAATGAGAATTATACAGGTGCAAATGAACATTAAAATTTGTGTTTGTATATTGTTTGGATGTTTATATTTTGTGTGAAACTATTATCAGCACTAAAATATAAAATTTAATTTAATGTATTTCAGTACAGATTTAGATTTGACATTATATAGACATGCTTTGTGATGTTCCCCCTCATATCTGTCTCTGATTAAACTGGCTTTTAAAGGTCTGATGTGAATCTGCTGTTTGTTTGTGTGTGTAGGTTCCTGTACAGCATGTTTACCCGAGCCAGTTTGTGGAGGGAGACGCCAACTACAACAATACTGCAATGTGAGCATCAACACAGTCCTTGTGGCGTATATTTAGCTTCACTTTACTCCTGAAAACATTTATCTTTCTCTGTATTTGTCCTTCTATCTCCCTTTTTTCAGTCGTTCCAGTAGTTACCAGTTCACAGACCCTTCCCTCTACTCTCAGGCCACGCCCTCTGTCACTTACTATGAGACGTCGCCCACCACCGGCTCACAGGTCACGTCCCCCACCAGCGCTCAGCCTGTGTCTGTGACGTCCGGGATGGGCACAGGGGTGATCTCCATGTTCTCAGAGGGCAGTTCGGGGATCACTGTGGTGGCTGGCGGGTCCTCGTCAGGAGTGGGCGGGGCAGGAGGCGTGGTTACCAGTGGAGGGTTGGGAAGTTACGTGATTCAGGGCGGGTACATGCTCGACGGAGTGAACCAGAACTTCTCACACAACACACGCGCATCACCTGCGACTGTGAGTGTATTTGCTTTCGTTGGTGGTACGGATTAATTTTCACCCCGAGAGAGAGAGTTTCACTCAGTGTTGTTATTCTTAACTAAAACTAATTTGAGTAATTGAAATAAAGAAGAAATAACATAAAATAAAATATAAATATTAGAAGAAAAACTTAAACTCTAGAAATTTAAATGAAAATTAGAAGTGCTGCTTAGGCAACTAACTGAAATAAAATAAGTTTTAAGCACTAAAATGACTAAAATTGTAATAAAAATAAATTAAAGCTAAATATAAATATAAAAAAAAAATCAAAGACTAATAAAAATAATTTAGCACATAATAATAATAAAATATAAATATAATCTGAAATAAAATATTATCAAAATAATAGTAATAGCACATAACCAAAAATTACTAAAACTTAAACTAAAATTAAAAATATAAAAATAAAGCAATTTAAAAATATTAATAGATAATATAATAGAAAATATCACTGTGGGAAAAGAGGAGTTTTTGAATGTGATAGTCAAATAATTAACACCTGCGGTCTCCTATCTGTGCTCAGGTGCAGTGGCTGATGGATAACTATGAAACAGCTGAAGGTGTGAGTCTTCCTCGCTGTACTCTCTACTGTCATTACCTCCTGCACTGCCAGCAGACCAAGCTGGAACCTGTGAACGCCGCCTCCTTTGGCAAACTCATCCGCTCCGTGTTCTTGGGCCTCAGGACAAGACGTCTCGGCACCAGGTACAAGCACACTGTCCAGACCAGGTGTGACACAATAAAGATTCAAGCCACGACAGGCAATATGAAACATTTAGCTTTATTTGTGTATTTATTGATCTGGGTAGCTCCACCCACAGTGAAATCTCATTGGTCCAGAATCTGCTCCACATAACTGTGAATTAAACATTATAGCTGTCATTGTATCACGTTGTGCAGGACTTTTTTTATTTGCCAGAATTTTAAATTGAGCAAAAGCTCATTTGAGATACGTTTTTTATTCAGTAAGATGTGCAGAAACTGAGTGGAAAAATATTTACCAATTAGCTTTGTAAAAAAGTCAAAAGTCTTGCCTAAACAAGTCATGTGACTGAATGGTATGCATCTCAAAAAATTGATTATTTAATTTTTACATTTAATAAAGGCGTCACTACAATTTCAATTTTAATTTATATTTTACAATCATTTCCATTGATTTCTGGTGATTTTGTTCTCTTGAACAGATGGGATTAAAACAAGGCAATTTATTTTAGCAAATTGTTTTTTTTGTTGCATGAATTAAATTAGCATCTTAGTTTTAAACGTATTTTATTTCAGCTAGTTGCCAAGGCACCTTTTCTTTAGTACTTAAAGCTTTAATTGAAGTACTAAAATAACTAAAACTATTAATTTAAAAAAATAAAAACTATATAGATGCTTAAAAAAATTTTAAAAAGAAAAGAAAAAAATAATAAAAATGACAAAAAACTCAAAACAAAATGACTAACAATTTGACTGAAAACAGAAAATTTAATAATAAAATCTAATTAAAAATTTTAACAAAAACTATAATAGTATATCATGATACTAAATGAACACAGGCTAGAACAGGCTAATATTAAAACACCTGTGTGCGTGTGTGTGTGTGTGTTTCAGAGGGAACTCTAAGTACCATTACTATGGCCTTCGAATCAAGAGCAACTCCCCCCTGCACAGACTGGTGGAGGACCAGCAACACCTGGCCATGAGACAACAGCCGTACTCACAGAAACAGAGGTGTGTGTGTGTGTGTGTGTGTGTGTTGATGATCACTTGCTGTTGTTAGTTTGATTGACAGCCCTCATCTCTTGATAAAGGATAAAACCTGTGCCGAAGGTGGAGGGACTGACCAATGGAATGGGCCTGGGGGTGGGGCATCAACAAGGGGCGGGGCTGTCTGACATCAGCGCCCAGGTTCACCAGTATCAGCAGTTTTTGGGTAAGACAGACACAAATCAAACACAAAAATGTAGGGGCACCTCTCTCTTTTGGACATATAATCTTATTCTACATCAACTTTTTATATGTGTGTGTCAGATGCGTCTCGCAGTCTGGCAGAGTTCCCTGACCTCAAAGAGGAGGATAAACCTCTGCCGGATGGACTCCTTCCTCAACACGTACTCTCATATCAGCTGGTCTACAGAGAGCACTGTGAGGTAAGTGTGTGTGTTGGATATCAGATGTGTGGTTATTTTAGTGTTTTGGTGAATAATGCGTGTGTGTGTGTTCATAGGCAATTCTGGACGTGATGGTAAACCTGCAGTTCCCTCTTGTGGAGACGCTTTGGAAGAGTTTCTGGAGGTTCAGTGAAGGTCAAAGCGGTGACACGGATACACTCGGCCTGTGAGACACATTGTTTTTATGCACAGTCAGAAGTGTTGTATTGTGTTGTTGTGTTGTGTCTCACTGCTGTCTCTGTCTCTACAGTCATGATGATTCAGAGAAGTGTTTGCCCAAGTCAGTTCTGGTTCTGTTGTGTAAATATGAGCCCATCCTGCACTGGACCCGTGAATGCGACAACTTACTGTATCAAAACCTAGTGGAGATCCTCATCCCTGATGTCCTGAGACCCATCCCCAGTGAGTTACACAACTCCACACAAACTCTATATAAACTCTATACGGTAACTATATAAACTATATAGTTACAGCTCTTCACCAACTTGTTTCACAATGCTATACAAACCCAATGAATTACAAAATTCTACATACAAACTTTATATAAACAATATCCTCAGTGAGTTACAACACTACACTTCATTGCAATGTGTTACAACTCTGTACAAACTTTGTCGCGTTGAGTTACAAAACTTGCTATGCAAACTATATAATCATCCTTTCTGACGTGCACAACGCTGTACAAACTCTGTATTAACTCTAGTCATAGCGAGTTACAAAATTCTATACAATTCCATTTAAACAACATCCACAATAAGTCAGACAACTATGTAAGCTCTATCCAGTGTGTTAAAACTCTTCACCATCTTGTGTTACACAATGCTATTAAAAATTACAAAATTCTACATACAAACTTCATATAAACGACTCCATACAAACTTTATATAAACTCCATATATAAAAAGTGAGTTGCAACACTATACAAACTCTATATCAACTCCATCCACAGTGAGTTACACAGTTCTGTAAGACAACTCTATAAAACCAATTCACAACTCCATGTAAACAACATCCCCAGCGAATTATACAACTCTATATAAACTCCACTTCAATTAGTTACAAAACTCTACACGACTCTATGCAAAATGTATATAATCACTATTCTCAGTAAGTTACACAAACTATATAAACACAATTTCATCTGGTTACAAACCTTTTCATAACTCTATACAAATTATATATAATCATCATCCTCAGTGAGTTATACAATCCTACGTAATGTAATACAAACTCTACAGCAACTCTATCCACAGTGAGCTAGACAACTCTATAAGACTTCAAAGTTCACACAAATATATATAAACAACATCCCCAATGATTTACACAACACTGTGCAAACTCTATACAAATTCTTTATCAAATCTATTCCCGCTGAGTTACAAAATCTACCCATAGCTACCGAAACTTTATTCGAAAATGTATACAAGCACAACCATGAGCTACACAGCTATACAATTTTGCACACTCTATACAACTTCATAGAAACCTATAAACTCCATAATTGGTAGTGTATTAAGGAAAGGTCCCTTACAACAGGATCATATTTGGGGTCCATGAGCATCAAATTATTTGAAAACATTTGATGTACAGTAAACAAAGGCTTTTTTGTTTTGTTTTTTCAAAATATCGGAAATATACAAATATCAGTCCACAAATCTGACTTGTGATGTACCCCTAACCTGGAATCATAAATCACACCATGTTTGTTTATTTAGGCCAGAGGAGAACTGGAAACAAAATGAGCCTGGTTTCTCTCAAGGCTTTTTCTAGAAGTTTTCCTCTCAACTCAAGTTCAATACAATGTACAATGTGGCCATCTAGTGTTCATAACAATGTATAGCACGTACCAAACTGCCATTGGTTTCACTTTCACTTTCGAGACACTTTTCAGAATTCAGTAATATTCAATTTGACGCAAAGCTACTTTTAAACAATCTGCATTGTATAAAGCGCTAGCTATAGCTATAGCAAAAGGTGACTCGACTTGTTTTTAATTACTTCTACAGTCATTATGTTTAGTCCATCAAAAATGTATGTGAAATTATTTCCAGTATTGTACAAACGCACTGTATTCTAATTTCTAATGTACCTCATAAAAAGTTTGGCTACGCCAGATATTTATTTTCCTTTTGCCAGGATATAAATGCTCATCCTCTGAAAATATATGTAAAATTGTAAAGTGTACATGAGTTAGCCAATATTAAAACAAAAAAAAGTTACCTCATGAGATTTCCAGATGAGATTCTTTTGTAGACTGCCATGCTGACAACAACAAATTACTTTTTGTAACAGCAGCTGTACATTCTCAGACAAATCTTCAAACTCTCAAATAGTCCATCTGCTAGCAATGCTCTTCAGTTCTGTAAAAGTAAATGCATGCACATCATGAAATCATTTTATTCATTGCTCACTCTTACCAAACAATTAAACTATTCACAAACACAAAGTGACATTCATTTCCAAAAGCTGACTATTCCCAGCGAGACTACGCTCTCATTGCCTCAGACATGGATGTAGATGAAAACTCTGCACTTCCCCTGCACTTTTTCATTGAACAAGTGTGTTCAATAAAGGAAGAAATAAATCAAATCAATGTAACACCATGGTTTCACAACTATTCTCGCCCCTACCCATCCTTTAAATAAACCCTGATTTCCCGAGATCCCTCATGCTCGTTGCTCAACACTGCTGTGACGTTTCGAGTTTATATTGTGGTTCTTAATTGCGATCACATTACAACAAGGTGTGACATGGTCCCTCTAGAAAATCTGACAAAACATATCCTAAAAGTAATATCAATTTAGTCTAACAGTCTCAAGTAGGGAGTAATTTTCTGAATTTTCATTTATTTCTATAAACACTGAATGCTGACGGCTCTTAGAGAGAAGGCCTCACCTGCAGTCATAGTAATGACATATACAGTCCAACAAACAAAATGTGTACAGCGTCATCCGTAATCCTGATCATCTGTAAAATGTCAGTCAAAGTAGATCGAGAGAGGTTTTTCTGTATTCTGTATGCGATATGGTTTTCTTATATCATGTAAACACTTTCTGAGGTGTCCTGAATTTACAACTGTGCCCCTCATAGATCTTGTTTGGATATTATCTTTGGTGTCTGTAGGGGAAAAGTATGGACGATAAGATTTATTCTATATCTATTCTATATGCAAGTCAAAAATAATAACCTAAGAAAATAGTAAAAAAAAAAAAAAAGTTGATACAAGCTCGGCTGATACATATCTTTAATTTCATGTTGGATGGTGAAAAATCCACATTCTGATGCATTAGAAAAATATTCAAAAATATTGAATAAAATATGTAAAATATGTTTTCTTTGTACGGTTAAGAAGCTTCATCTAGACCCCCACTGTCAGAGAAGGATCAGAAGACAGATGCAATTGCAGGTATGCTCTAGCAAAAATATTGAATAAAATGTGATGAATGAATGTAAAATATGTTTTCTTTGTACGGTTAAGAAGCTTCATCTAGACCCCTGCATTATTTAGATCCCCAAATAAGACCAGTTCCACTCGGATAATGAACACCTCGGAGGGGAAAATCATTTGAAATGTAGGTTTGTCAAAAAGAAAGAATAATATTTTATCTGGTTTAGTTGTATTTTAAAATAAATAAATAAAATCCCTTTCTTAAAAACATTGTGTCAAACTTATTTTGTAGCCTGATTCTCGTCTCGTCGTGTATTGACCACATATTTATCAGACTTATAAAAGCAGTGTGAACCTTCATAGAAGTATTAAAGTAAGTCTTATAAAACAAAGAGATCCGGTTAATGACATTGTGTCAGAACACAACGGTATGAAAATGCATTTGATAACCTTTTATTCAAATTTTCAAGCTAGATTAAAAGGGTATAATACAAATTGCACAATACTTGATTTTGGGAAAATGTTGGAAAACTATCTTGTAGTGTTTTCACCCATGGCCGGCGGTGCTGCCCTGAGCGGTTGACCTTCCTGAATGGTGTCATTGTGTGTGTGTGTGTGTGTGTGTGTGTGTGTGTGCATCATTGTGTCTGTGTGTGTGTGTGTGTGTCATTACATGATACATCACATATTGTATCTACATATATTTTCAGTAGATAATCAATAGTATATTGATAGTATATGATATTTATCACGCTGATAAAGGTCAGTTCAGAAAAATACGATCATATACAACTATATAATTGTAGAACTAGATCATAGCTACATGCTCACCCTAGTAATAATCTAAGATATGGACAGGTTTTTATTTAGCCTTTTAAGCTGGAATATGGTTTGAAATAAGATAAATAAAATAAATATTTCTTTCCATGGCATAAACAGCCCGCGCGATAATGATTTAAAATATGTGAAATAATTTATAAATATATGCAATTGTAAGGTAAAACATGTTTGAAATGTTATGTTTGTAAGGTGATGGTGGATAACGTAGAATGTCAACTGTTAGTTCAAGATATGGACAGGTTTTTATTTAGCCTTTTAAGCTGGAATATGGTTTGAAATAAGATAAATAAAATAAATATTTCTTTCCATGGCATAAACAGCCCGCGCGATAATAATTTAAAATATGTGAAATAATTTATAAATATATGCAATTGTAAGGTAAAACATGTTTGAAATGTTATGTTTGTAAGGTGATGGTGGATAACTTAGAGGTTTCACATAGGAGAATACCCCTAGAGGAACTTTGAGATTTTGTTTACGGTTCAAATGAAACAAAGTATTTTTGTAAATCACTCATTCATATTTGGACATCTTAGCACTCTAAAAAATGTAAGGTATAATTTTTCATATTTATTGCGACCTAAAACTATTAAATGTTTATATTATACAGCGTGTTATATATAATCACTGGATACGTTTTGACATTTGTGCTTTTCTGTATCTTAAAAAATATATTAATGACTAAAGTCTGATTGTACTGTATTCAACACGAGCTGAGCTATAATAATAATAATAATAATAATATGTGAGCAGCGTGAATGTACATGTTTGCGAAAACAACGTTTATGCGTGTATAGTGAAAAACTACACTGTTAGCAATTTCTGTAAATTACACAGTATTTAACTGTAATATGAACTGTGCTTTACTGTAAAACAGTTACACAGTACATTACTGTATTTTAAAGTTGCATTATGGGAAATATCTTCTTGCCGGCATTAAAATACAGTATTTTTAATTTACTGTAAATCCAAATACAGTAAAAAAAAAAAAAAAAATGAGCGCGAAACCTGACCAATGACAGAAAGGCTTTTTTTTCTGCTTGGAGAAAGAAGAAGAAGAAGAAAAGGACGACGCACACACCTCGCAGCTGCAAATGTATGTTAATAGTATTACGTGTTAATGTAGTACTACCTATTACTTCCTGCATAGTTACTTGTTAACAACGGACCATTATTCTAAAGTGTTACCCATTTTATAAAATGAGTAACACCATGAAAACACTAGTAAAACTGGTGATTGGACACCACTTCTCTGTCACATTCACATTCAATAAAGAAAAGAGATAAATGAGTACAGATTGATGAGATAATACTGAGAAAAATACTTGATTCCTGAACATTGCAGACAGAAATCAAGATTTAGCCTGAGACTCATGATCACAACAGCAATGCACCCATTATGTTTGTTATTTTTCTACAGAAAATGTCTACAGTAAAAACTGTTAATTATAAAGTTAATTATAAATGGCGTAATATCAATATATACAACAGTTCTTTCTGGTTCTCGAATCTGATTGGCTGATAGGAGTGCGATATTAGAGTCCAACAGAGCTCCTCGACCTCTTCACCGTTAGTATCACTCCGCTTGCCTAAATTGCCGTATTTCTCACAGCGAGTGTCATGGCGGACGCCCAAATCCACGATAGTTTTAAAATAATACTGTTTTGTGTCACGAAATGCAATTTTAAGAGTTTTTTAGGCGAGAATGTGCTTGCTTGGACGTCAAATATGCGGTTTGTTAATAAAGATAACGTCTGTTTGAAAATTTGCTTTGGCGATTTCGGAGACGTGAGTTCCAGCGGCCATTCAGCGCTCATTACACCCGCCGAGAGCGCCTCACCGCGGCCAGATCTTCTGGAATTTACTCAGTGGACATTCAAACTTATGTTCTATTGTGTGTAGGAGACTGAGATGCTGTATCAGATGCAGGTATCACACTCGCTCAGTCCATCTCTCTCTCATAATACTTTACTCTACATAATACAGCAAGCTTTTACTACAGTAATACAATAAGCTTTCAATGAAGCAACTCATCATTCCTTCGTTACTAGCTCTAAAGTGACGTTTTGGAATTAGTAACGGAGACTGGGTCTCAGCTGTTAAACTGTCAACTTTAGATTTAAATATGTGGCGGAAGGAAGTAGTTCTGCACAAAAGAGGGCTTTTAAAGACACTCCATTGTTGTTTCTAATTTATTTACACACTCGTGCCGTCAAACTGTTGTATGAACGCAATATCACACTCGTAGAAGTGAGATATGGCTATATATCGGCATGCTGTGATTACCTACGGCCGAATCACAGCCATGCTAAACTGTCAAATTTAGATTTAAATTTGTGGCAGAAGGAAGTAGTTCTGCAAAAAGAGGGCTTTTAAAGACACTCCATTGTTGTTTCTAATTTATTTACACACTCGTGCCGTCAAACTGTTGTATAAACGCAATATCACACTCGTAGAAGTGAGATATGGCTGTATATCGGCATGCTGTGATTACCTGCGGCCTCGTGCCTACGGCCGAATCACAGCCATGCCGATATACAGCCATATCTCACTTCTACGAGTGTGATATTGCTCATATATATATATATATATATACATACACAGTATAATTTTACTGTAAAACATGCAAATCACCATAAAATTTACAGTTTAATACTTCTAGATAAAGTCTCCCCAGACCCAAGTCTTTTGTATCATAATTGTGATATATCCAAAATACTCATTCTTTACAGAAAGATACAGAGAGAAATGACAAATGGAGATATTGCCTTATCTCTAACTTGTTTGTGAAGACAGTACAGCATAGCTTTGAATTTCTATAAGAATATTAAGAAAACATAGAAAGATAAGTAGCCTAATAATATAAAAGTAGCTAAATATAGAGTAAATATGAAGAGTTTGGTTCCAAAACGCGATAAACGCCATTTAAAAAAATTTGAGTTTCCGCCAAAATCAGTATCTGGTCGGTATTGAAAAGTCCATTTTTAATTTTACGCAAAATGTGATATCCGCCGAGTTATTCTGTCATGTTTTCTCCCTTTTTTTCCAAACCACGACAAACACCAGTCTCCCTTCTCTGCAGAATGCAATATATCCGGTATTAAGATCTGTAAGGACCAAAAGGAGAGAAATAATAAAAATTTTACACCAATTATTAGGAAAATTAAACAAAAATTTAACTTATGGTTAATGAGAGATCTATCATTAAAAGGAAGAATATTATTATTATCCAAAACTGAAGGGTTGTCACATTTAGTGTATACATCTCTTGCATTAGACATTCCACAATCTGTTATAAAAGAGGTGGATACTATTTTGTTCAATTTCATCTGGAAGAACAGACCACATTATTTAAAAAGAACAGTTATATGCCACCACCCCAGTTGAAGATGGTGGTCTAAATGTACTTGACTTTAATACTGCTAATTGTGTATTTAAGAACAAATGGATAAAGAACTTCTTGAACTCTAAAGACAAGATTTGGAATATCATCCCTGAATTAATCTTTGATAAATTGGGGGGGTTTAGAATTTTTTTTTAGGTGTAATTTTGATGTAAACAAGGTTCCGATAAAGCTTTCTTCTTTTCATAAACAGGTTTTTTTTTTTATTATGGATGCTCATTTTTAAGCATAACTTTTCTCCACACAACTCTGTGATTTGGAACAACAAATATATTAAGTTTAAAAATAAATCTTTATTTTACAGAAATTGGTACAACAATGGTATAATTTTGGTGAGGCAGTTATTTAAGAATAATGGACAGCTCTTTAATTACTGTGAATTCCTGAATCATTATAAGATCCCTGTAACTGCTAAGGAGTTTGCAGTAGTATTTGTAGACCCTAGTGGCCTTATTCAACTTTTATCAGGCAATATATCTTCTGAGCCTATTCCCTTATATATTGATCAGTTAAGTATTAATGGTGTGAAAATTATAGATAAAAAAATCTAATAACTTTTATATTAAAAAATTATGTAGAACTACAGCATTGCCTAAATGCAAACCTTTTTGGAACTCGATGTATAATCAGATTGAATGGAAAGAGGTTTGGAGTTTACCCAGTAAATACTGCCTCACCAATAAAGTTAAAGAAATTACATATCAGGTTATTCATTTGATTTATCCAGTGAGACAAGTAGTCTCAAGATTCTTTAGAGACATGAAGACTACATGCGTCTTTTGTAATTCAGAAGAAGAATCCATAAAACATTTATTTTTTGAATGTGTATTTACCCAATCGTTTTGGATTGACATTGAATATCTAATATTCAAATTCACAAAATTAAAGATTCGACTATCTGGTAAAGATATATTTTTGTTATATAAAAATAAGATTTTGGAGCAAAATTTGGTGGTTTACTTAATAATTATATATGGAAAATACATACCATATACACAAACAGAAAAGGAATAATAATAAACCTAACATTATATTATTTAAAATTGAACTTAAGCATTATATTGAGGCCCTAAAAGATGCAAGAAATAAAAAAGTGAAATAGATGTATAGAATTTTTGAGTCCTTTTCTTTTTGGAACTTTTGTAAGTTTTTTCCCCTGTATAGTTTTTTTTCTTTCTTTTTCTCTCTCTCAGAAAATAGTGGTTTTCATCTTGCCACTTTCTTGGTAAAGAAACATTTTTACTCAAATTAATCAAAATAAATTTATAGCGTTTTGGAACCAAACTCTTCATATATAAACGTAAGTAATATAAAACGCTAAGATTATAATAAACAGTCTGGCGGCATAGTTTATAGCCCACGTCACACCTCTCTTTATCTCTATACACTGGCTACCGGTTGCGACTTGCAACAAGTTGACAACATTAATGCTTGTATACAGATCAGCCTCAGGCTGCGCACCCTACTTCTACTCACTCTTACAAGCCCATATCCCCTCCTGAAACCTAATATCTGTAAATGAAACGAATACTCATGGTACCATCACAGAAAGGCACAAAATCCCTTTCCAGAACATTTACATTCACTGTTCCTTGCTGGTGGAATGATCTTCCCAACCCCTATCCATAATGCCAAATCCCTGACAATATTCAAAAGACAGCTGAAAACGAATCTCTCCCATGAGCACAAATTCCTCAATGCTTTCCCTTTTTTTAATATTGTACTATTCTAAACGATGTCTGAAACTTTGTATTATGCGCACTTCTTGTGTTTATTTGCCTCTTTATGTTCAATCGCTTGTTGTATTCCAGATAAAAAAGCATCTGATAAATGAATAAATGCACATGCACATCACAGTGTTTTCTGTTTTAGTGTGATGTAATGTTCATCTATAAACGAGTTCTGGCATTGGTTTCTGGACAGGCCATTTATGATGAACTCTGATTCATCATGTGGTTTTCTATTTTAGCACCTGTATTATTATGGTGGTTATCAATACAGTACATTGCTATATTCACATTACATACAGTTTTTTTTTTGTTTTGTTTTTTTACAATCTCCAGGACCAATTTCTCAATACTTTTTAAAACTCTTCACACAGTGAGCGCTACAGCAGTCTATGTGGCTTAAACTGTGCATTATTTATCAATGCTTTGGCACAAAAAGCATTCAGTGACTACATCTATCAAATTACATGAATTCCTTTCTAACTCAGACATAAAAACCTACAGGGCAACTTGCATGTTTACATACTTTTTTTTTTTTTTCAACTTAAGTTCAAAACCTTACATAAATCAAAACTGAAAGTAAAGCAATTTGACAGCAATAAAGATATTTGAAAAAAGAAAATGTTGTATAATGTTACCAGTTTTTACCAGTGTCTTTAGGTTATTGTTTTATGAGGTGACAATCTTTGCTAGTGTTATGGAAGAACGATTTGATTTGAGACATAAAGTATGAAGTGTTTTCATAGTTTTAGTGCATTTGAGTGTGAAATTAGCTGCTGTGCCAAACTGAAATTGTTTATTAGGAGAAATGTTGGAGAGTTTTGAAAAAGTGCCTTAAGTATGGGTCCTAGTGATTGTAATGAAACATACAAGTTGTACTTTTTACAGCACATCACATGAGGCCTGGGATTGGTTCACATTAAAACATGTTCACAGCCTTTTGTATACTTAAATTATAATTTTGTGGTTGTAAAATTGTAAAATAGTCCTCTCAATACTGTAACACAAGCACCAGAACTCATCATTGATGTCTACCTCCATCACAGTAGGTCATCTATAATAGAGAGAGCTTTTACATTTTCAGTGCATGCTGGTATTTGCACCACTGTGCAGAAGGTTTAGATGGGCTACGCAGATTAATGAGGGTGTGAACAACAACAAAGTAATATCTACAGATGATCTACAGACATTTCTAAGGACCTGTGCAGATGACGTCGAGTAGTAGGAAATGAGCGATGACAAAAACTCCTTAGAAATACGCTGTGGCAGAATTCTGTAAAACAATGTTACAGCGTTTAATTAGAAGCTGTCACTTAATTACAATATAAAGTACATGTTGATTATGACTGATGAATGAACTTACAACCAATGAAAATATAATGCCAATGCATAGAATGGAAATGAACATTACAATCATCTCTGGTTTTGGTTTTGTCCCTTCGTTGGGGAGTTGTCTTTCTGGTCTCTCTGGAAGACAAAAGATTTACAAAAGTTGGAGCAAAAACAAGAAAATGTGATATACAAAAGAATATAGGCTGAAATATAAATATTTTTGTCAACCATTCACTTTTGCACACCTTCAATCAAAAGCTGAACACTCCAGAGTACTGATTCCTCTATAATGTAGCACTGGTACTTTCCTGCATCAGTGTGTTGAAGGTTGTTGAGTTTGATGGAGAAGTTTCCTCTCAGATACTCCTCAGGAAAGCTTTCAGCTCTGTTCCTGTACTCTGGATCCTGTCCTTCCACAGAGACTTTACCCTTAATAATCTCATACACATTCTGGCTGTTATTGATTCTCCAGCGCACTTGATTTATGTCTTGAATTGTATGCAGAGGTTCTTTAGAAGAACAAGGTAAAACAGCAGAACCTCCAATAAAACCCACAACAGGCTCCTGCAGAGACACTGAAAACAGAGTGAAGTTATGAAAAAAAAGTATGCTCTACAAATAATTGTTCATTTTAGTACTCACCTTCATTTACTATTACAAACATAGGCAGAAAATAAAACTAACTCCATCTGTGTAAACAGAAACAAATGATTAATTTTTCTCAGACTGAGCTACATCAACAGAAACATCCACTGAAGTAAATGCATAATATCTCAGCCTCTGAGATTAGCGCTTTAGTGTAGTTAGGACATCATGAGATTAAAAAAAATATTGTCACAGTTGTGGTGTCCTTTCTTTAAAACAGCATCCACAATCCATACAGTACCATCAATTCATCCAATTAGAAATGACCTCCAGTGGTCAAATCTGCTGTTAGATCAGTTAGCCTATGTTTAATATATTTGTTTGATGTTTGTTTTCAATTATATTTGTTGTTTTGAATTAAAATGCTTTCAATTAAATTAGGGATGGTATAGGCTTTTTTTGAGCAAGACATTTTAATTACCACAATAAATTAATGCGCTAACTAAAATGTCCATGTTTTCTGTTAGTGTTACATTTATACAACCTGCCTGGTTCTGGGATGAGGTGTTTATAACAACAGCACTAGTCAACAGGGTCAACACGTGCATACGCAGACGATATTTAATATGGTGACACGATCCTCGAATGTTGTGAAGTTTGGTCATGCAATGTGTCAGAACTATGAGATTTGATGTTAGTTGATGTTTCAGGTTTGTGTCGCCATATCTGATCTAGTCAGTGTATGCAGGCCAGGATTGGCTAATTGGGAGCACTGGGAGAATTTTTTGGCCACAAGGACCGGTCTTGTCATGCCAGTGGGGTTGAAATATGGATGCCCGTATTTAAGGCATCAAAGCAGCATCCCGTATGAAAGCTATAACGCAGTTTGTCCCGTATTCGCAGACATATGCCATATGACCACCAGACCATATGAATAACAAATTCTTAATTGATAATTGATCATTCTTTTTGTGCAAATTGTTTTATTTGTGAATGTAGCTGTTTGAGAAAGTGCTCGTGCTTATGGCAATTCCCTTCACCGTCCGCGTTTTGATTTTGCCAAATCAGTTTGGGCGAATGCAAACAACTTATTGATCATGAGCCCAACATCCAGCAAGGCAGGAAAACATTCAATCTACCTGAGGGAAGACGTCTTTCACTATTGCAAGTTAATGCTTTTAAATAGAGAGAGAGAACAAATTTTTTCTAGTGTATTCTTAAATTTCGACCTCATTATATTGAAGTACAAATCCAAGCACCAGAAGCAGCCCACACTCTCTAAGTTTTCTTTAACTGAAAAATATGCATTTTCATTCATTCATAGGCTATATGGTTGCAATAATATTTTAGTTCAAAAATTTAAGTGCCATTGTTTAAAAAAACGCTTTATTGACTGACGTTTCATTGACCTTCATTTGTTATGCTTTCAAATTGCATGCCATTGTATGCAATTTCACAGTATTTTCACCTCCCCTACTACACCACTTGTGCAGTCACAATTCTATAATGGTACAATTTACTCCGGCTGATGACATTTTTTGTATGACATTAAAATAATTTTTATAATAATTGTACATAAATAGGTTAAGCAAAACAAATGTGATTATTTCTGAGAACTTTTTAACTGGAGTCAGATATGCGAGCAAAAAATTATAGATACAAAATGGATAATAGAAAGCACAAAGACAGTGCTGAAAAGGTCAGTAAAAAAAATGCCCTAGAAAAATACAATGAATTACAAGTCTGTAGAGAACAGTGCACTACTGCAGACTTATATACTGAGGTTTTAATTACATTATTTTAATAGCCATAGTCAGTCGTGACCTAAAGTGGGCCGGTCTAAGGCATGAAACTCCGGCCCTGTGTGTATGCATGCATTGATCAATGCTTTGGTTTGATTCAAGAGTGAAAAAGGCTTACACTTCAGTCTGTTCACCTTACATATAAACTAAACATGTATTGTATTAAGGAAAGGTCCCTTACAACAAGATCATCAAATTATTTGAAAACTATTCATGTACAGTAAACAAAGAATATTTTTGAAATATCTGAAATATAAAAAAAATAATAATATAAGTCCACAAATCTGACTTGTGAAGCAGCCTGGAATCATAAATCACACCATGTTTGTTTATTTAGGCCAGAGGAGAACTCCCCCCAAAATGAGCCTGGTTTATCTCGAGGCTTTTTCTAGAACCTTTCCTCCAACTGTTTGATAGTGTGCATGTGCCATCTAGTGGTCATAACAATGTATAGCACGTACCAAACTGCCACTGGTTTCACTTTCGTATTCAGTAATCAGTAATGTTCTGTTTGACGGCAAAGCTACTTTTAAACAGTCAGCATTGTATAAAGCACTATATAAATAAACGTGACTTGACTTGTTTTTAATTGCTTCTACAGTCATTAACTTTGGTCAATCAAAAATGTATTTGAAATTATTTCCAGTATTATACAAAAGCACTGTATTCTAATTTCTAACGTACCTAATAAAAAGTTTGGCTACGCCGGACATGCCAGAATATAAATGCTCATCCTCTGGAAATATATGTAAAAGTTGTAAAGTGTACATGAGTTAGCCTACTGTACATAAAAACAAAAAAAATGATACCTGCTGAGATTTCCAGATGAGATTCTTTTGTAGATTTCCATGAGGACAACACCAAATTACTGTTTTTAACATCAGACGTACATTCCCAGACTAATCTTCAAACTCTCAAAGCAATATAGTCCATCTGCTAGGAATCCTCTTCAGTTCTGTGAAAGTAAATACTTGCACATCATGAAAATTATCTGATTCTTTGCTCACTCTTACCAAACAATTAAACTATTCACAAATACAAAGTGACATTCATTTTCAAAAGCTGGCAATTCCCAGAGACACAACGCTCTCATGGCCTCAGACATGGATGTAGACATAAACTCATCCCCTGCACTTTTTCATTGGACAAGTGTGATCACATAGAGGTTTTCATGGGACAATGAGTATATATAAATCTAGATTTAAAATTCAATCTATACATAATCTGTCTATACAGTATGTTCTCATACCCACGCTTTATCCAACATCCAGAGAAGTCACAATGAGTTAAAGGGATAGCTCACCAAAAAATGAAAATTACCCCATGATTTCACCCTCAAGCCATCCTAGGTCTACAGGTGCATCTCAATAAATTAGAATGTCGTGGAAAAGTTCATTTATTTCAGTAATTCAACTCAAATTGTGAAACTCGTGTATTAAATAAATTCAATGCACACAGACTTGTATATGACTTTCTTTTTAAGACAAATACAATCGGAGTTATATTAAAAAATATCCTGGCTCTTCCAAGCTTTGTAATGGCAGTGAATGGGGGTTGAGATTTTGAAGCCCGAAAAAGTGCATCCATCCATCATAAAAAGTGCTCCACACGGCTCCGGGGAGTTAATAAAGGCTTTCTGAAGTGAATCGATGTGTTTGTGTAAAAATATCCATATTTAAAAGTTTATAAACTGTAATCTCTAGCTTCCACAAACTGTCATACACACATTCACGAGAGAGAGCTGATGGCATAGGTGTAGCATACGATAATATATATATATATATATATATATATATATATATATATATACTCTTCTGGCTCAACTAATTGGTAAATAATCTCAAACACAGCTCTTCCTGACAATTTTATTTTCACCAATATATTATTAAAACCCGTCAAATTAGAGTAAAGATTGTGATTATTAAAGAAAATGTTATAAACAGTTTGAAAAGGAAATAAAAAAGGTACTCAAACCTAAACGACACTCAACTAAATTACACTAAATGTTTCCTGCATGCTAATTGTTCTACTGACATACTGTAAGGTCTCCTTGTGCCATGACATGCTTGTCAGTTTAGTTTGCAATACGTAGTTTGATCGACTTTATTTCTTTAATGAACCATTCACTGCAGAATAGAATAGAATAGAATAGAATAGAACTGGTATTACATTTGACATTCTGTCCCCCTCAGTTCTGAAATGATGGCTATATGCCCCTGCAGGCCTCAGAAGACCTTGAATGTAGCACAAGTCATATAGTAGTTATACTATTTGTCCTTTTTGTCTGTTATACAACATATTGGGCCACATTACAGATTTGGAATGATGAAACAGTGGGTGTATATGTATAGTTTTCATTTTTAGGTGATATCTCTTTAATTGGCTGCCTCTGTTTTAAGAACACAATGAAATGGTTGCAGTTCATGGACGCTGGGCTTGTCTTGTCCAAAACAACAAATTAAAGTTATAAGTGGTTAAAGAGCACTATTTATTATAAAATATTGCCTTCAGCTATTTGCAAAATGATATGTTTATTTTAATGCATGGCAATGTCTTAAACACGACATAAAACCCACTTGAGTAAGCTACTAGTCAAGTCCTTACTAGTCCTTTACTTAAGGTAATGTAAGACATGTGCTAGTAAAGTCTGAGGATGATACACCTCCACGTTCAGATATCATTCACAATAGGCACACATTCACTCTTTATCTTATGCCTGATATATGCTGAAAACTGATACGTTAATGTCTTTGTCTTTCCTCACATCCACACTAGGGAAACATGGGACAAAGAACGTAAATTACATTCAAAACAGGGATTTAACTTGTTCGTAAAACAGCTGGCAAATATTGCTGGATTCAAACTCACCTTGTTCATCTGCTTAAATCTTTCCTCGTGTTCGGAATTCCCCTTTTTGCTTTGTGTGAGCACGAGAAAACGTAAGCGTAGCACAAGATTTCCCACCCGCGTCAACTGAGTTTTGTCGAAGAGAAAAAAATAAAGAAATAAATAAAGCGATTTGAGCTGTGACTGTATGTACGTCCTCCAAAGCCCATTTGCTCGCTCCGCTGCCCATCCTTTAAATATTCCCTCATCTGCCTCATTGCTCAACAATGCTGTGACGTTTCGAATGGAGAAGGGTGGAGCAGTTTTACGCCCCGTTGTTCCTGATGCGTCCAGTCTCGGGGCTGTACAGTATGAGCCATCAGAACAGACCATAGACTGTAAAAAAAAGTTTTTGAAGATTTTTTATGTTTTTTAAAGAAGCCTTTTCTGCTCATCAAGCCTTCATTTATTTGATCTAAAGTGCTAAAAACAGTACAATTTTCAAATATTTTTACTATTTCAAATAACTGTTTTCTATTTGAATATATTTTAAAATGTAATTTATTCCTGTGATCAAAGCTAAATTTTCAGCATCATTACTCTTCAGTGTCACATGACAGATCTACAGTAGACATTTTTTAAATTAATACTTTTATTTAGCAAGGATGCTTTAAATTGATCAAAAGTGATGATAAAGACATTTATAATGTTACAAAATATTTATATTTCAGATGAATGTTGTTCTTAGAAACTACAGAAAAACTGTTATTTTAAATATTAAAAATATTTCAGAATTTTACTGTTTTTGCTGTACTGTGGATCAAATAAATGCAGGCTTGGTGAGCAGAAGAGGCTTCTTTAAAAAAAACATTAAAAATCTTCAAAAACTTTTGACTGGTAGTGTACAAATAAAAGAGAAGACAGCACACTCTGTAATAATTACACATTTATTGTGAATGTTTTGATAGAGTGAGCTCTCCCTCACTCTCTGAGCCTGCTTCTGCCTCATGTGCAATGGAAGTATAAGTATTAGACATTTAATTTAATATTATACAGCATAAATCTATATTATATACTAATAAACAGCTCATTTAGAACATTTATATTACCTTTTTAACTATTATAGGCCCATTAATATGCTTTTAATAAAATATTATAAAAATGTGTTAGGTTATTCAATAGATTACATATGAACTAAGACAAGTGATTATAATGGGAAATATACTTAACAGCAAGAATTAAAGTGTGACAAACTAAGATATTCTATATGAGGAATTACCTGCTGGCTTGCTGGATCTTTGAATTCCTGTTTGCAATGTTGAAATTGCCTTTAGCAGCCTCCCTTCGCTCTTTTTCTCTCTGTCTTTTTTTTTTTTTGTATGAAGGCATTATTATTATTTTTTTTACAAAGTGTGCCAACAACAGCAAATGTGGTGTTATTTGTATTAGATCTGGACGGCTACAACAATTTGATTAGACATTCTAAGAACGTGGATATTGTGTACAAGTTGTTGTTAGGACTTTTAGAAGACCGAGAGCAAAACATTACCGACAGAAATACAAAAACAAACTTCCAAATTTCTAATTCAGCATACTCACTGTACAACTCACTGTAATGTGGATTGTAATACATCTACCTGTTAATGCAATGACCTTCGGGAACGCAGCGGGCACACAGATTTTGAGTGCACGTCCTGATTTTGCTGAGTTAGATGTGTTCCTAGGTCAACATATTTTGTTGACCCTGGAACAACATTTTAATCCAAAAATTTAGTCTTGACCATATCCCTACACCTAAACCTAACCTTAACCATGAGTAATCCCTAAAATCAGAGGAAATGATAGATGAATGACACTGATGTACAAGCCCCAAACACTGATTGTAGGCCTAAACTTCAAACTATAAACTGGTCCTTCAAATTTGATTGGTTAATCACAATGTTGTTCCAGGGTCAACAAAGATGTTGATCCAGGAACATGTCGCACATGGCAAAATCAGATTGGGAGTGATGCTGCGGAGCGGGCGGGAAAACACAGAGCGGATTAGTGGAATAGGTGGATCTTTTGTGGAGTGGTAACAGAATGCTTTGAGCTGGGGAGATAGCAAGGGTTTGGTGAGAGGGGCACCTCAGCCGATGAGGGCAGAGGGGCAGTGGCTCTAGCCATCGGGCCACCCCCTTGTGCACGGCCCTGACTGTATGTTGCTGCCACATTGAAAAAGAGTGAACATTGAATGCATAACTCATACTAATTAACATCTACCGTAAGTCAGAAGTAAAATAAAAAGTGTTCCTTATTGGTGTTATTCATGTGTTTTTTAGGATAATGCTGACATGAAGGATGCCCTTGTGTTTTCTGCATGGACACAAGCCACCGGCCCAGACCATTAACTATGTGTAAGATTTTACAAGCCACGGTGAAGCTCATATGAATATTAGATGTGTATCATGTTTTATACTGTACAGCTTTGACTACTTTGTGGGTTGGAGGGATTGTTCTATTATGCTGGTTTTACAGAGTGTTGTTTTTACCCCAATATCATGAGGCAAAGCTAATGCAAATGTGACATGGATTGTCATAACACTTTCTATACTCCCCGACCACAACCACTGCTTATACATCTCCATAGGTAAGCCATTTTTATGAGAGATTCTACGACTAGACTCCCTGTATAGTAATCATGAGTCTGGTTTTGGAGATGACCAGTACAGAGACATATTTAGGTCCACAGCTAAGAGATAATTGCCTTTTCTGTGAATAAAATGTAGCATTTTTATTCACAAATGTCATCTATTGTGTTTAAAAAGCATGGGAGTTCTGCCATTTCAATGATCGTTTTTGTATTCTCACGGCTTGCTCTTGCTGCCTTTATTATAGCATCTCCCACAGAATCAGCTTCCTCTGCCACTTTGTATCCAGTGATTCCTCCTCCAACACCTCCTGCGAGAGCCGCAGCTCCGAGAACACCCACAGCAATTCCTGAACTCGCTGCTGCTCCGATGCTGGCGCCTGCAGCCACTTCCACCCCAATGGCTTTCACCGCTGATGCAAACTTTGCTGCTTTGAGTAAAGCCACAACAGCTGCCACTGCAATGCCGATGCCCAGGAAAGCACCGATCAGTGTCCCTGTGGTCACTCCGGCAAGCCTAATGAGAAGTTTTTTATAAACATTTTCTTTAGCTTTTCCTTTTTTCTCTTCTGCATGCAAATTGTCCTCTATATTTTCAATCTCTTCTTGAAGTTCTTCCTCCACCATCTGAAGCAGCTCATTGTTAAAGCAGTCATTCTCACTTCCCTTCAGATTCTTCTCGAAGGTCCTCAACAGCTTTTTCACCTGAACTCTGTTGCTCCTGTAACCCCACCAACGTTTTCTCCAGTGTTTGTTGTCAATAACATGACAGCGACCTCCACATTTTTCAACAAGCTGCTGTAGTTTTGGACTCTCCTTCACAAATTCCTCAATGGTTTGACCTTCTAGATCTTCACCGTGAGTGAATAAAACTGAAATGTGTTGAAGGATATCACCACACTGCTCAAAATATGAATTCATAATATCCACAATCTCCATTTCTTGTTTCGTGTACCTTGAAACCTTTAGAATCATTACTATCATGTCAGGACTTGGACCCATTTCAGTGATGGATTTAATGATTTCAGCTCTGATGACGTCCTCGGTAACAACCGTGTCAAAAATTCCAGGTGTATCAATAACAGTGATTTTTCTTCCAAAACCCATTCTATTTCCACTCACACAGTCTGCAGTCATTGATGTAGGTGAAGCTTTACTCTTGAATATTTGCTTTCTAAGGATTGTATTTCCAGCGCTGCTCTTGCCAACTCCTGTCTTCCCAAAAAGGACAATCCTTCTCTCAGGTCTAGATTCTTTACCTATTGGAAGAAAACACAAGTGTTTTGTTACGAAACTGTTTTTTCCCCCTCATAAAAAATAAGTTGCTGCCTTAAATATTTAACTGCAATCAACTTAAAATAAATGTATATAATAAATAAATTTCAACTTAAATTACATTAAACTGACTTTAACAATGAGTTGTATCTTGTATAACTGATAAAAAATTTTTAAAGTGAAAGTAATGTAAAAACATGTTGCCATAACTTATTTTACAATGCCTTCAACGCTGTCACGGTCACTCGGGGAGGAGGGAACGAGGAGATGCAGGAGAATACTTCAACATGGAATTTAATGGAATCAGCAATGGGGAAAACACAGGAACTCACAGAAGTCATTTAACAGCAGACAGAAAATACTGGGAAACACAGGTTTTAAATGCTCAGAAACTAATGGGACACACCTGGGAACAATACGAACTAAGCGGGGAACACCTGGACTCAAATAATAACCAATAAGGACAGGACACAGGAAGAACCAAATAAGGGCAAACAGGAACATACACGTGACAGATCGCCCCCCTCCTGGATGGCGCGTCCCACGCCGTAATAGTACCATCGGGGAGGGGGGGCAAGCACCCTGGAGGCTGATGCAGGACTGGAACAAGGCGGAGACAAGGAGAGCCTCCAGGGCGGATCAGGAAGCCATGGCGGAGCAGGGGACTCAGGAGGCCATGGCGGATCCTCCGTGGCCTTAGCTGGCTCAGCCACGGGTATATGCCCTCCCCCCCCCAAAAAAAAATGTATTGCGGAAAACTAGGAATCCTAGGGGGCGCTCTGGAGGAGCGGGCACTTGAGGGCGCTCTGGAGGGGATTCAGGGGCTGGAGCCCTCCTTGGGCTAAGCACGGGGACAGGAGACCTCACTGGGCTAAACTCGGGGGCAGGAGTCCTCACTGGGCTAAACTCAGGGACAGGAGCCCTCACTGGGCTAAACTCGGGGACAGGAGACCGCCGTGGGCTATACTCGGGAACTGGAGCCCTCCGTGGGCTATACTGGGGATCTGGAGCCCTCCCTGGGCTTAACTGGGGATCTGGAGCCCTAACGAGGAATCAGGAGCCCTTCCTGGGCTAAACGGGGGATCTGGGAAGGGCTTACGAGTTGCTGGCACTGGAGGGAGCTCTGGAGGAGCAGACACAGCAAGGCGCTTTTGAGGAGCGGGCACTGGAGCGAACTTAGGTGCTAGAGCTAACACTGGAGTGAGCTCTGGGGCTGGAGCCGACACTGGAGCGAGCTCTGGGGCTGGAGCCGACACTGGAGCGAGCTCTGGGCAGGAGTGAGCCACGACCGACGGGCTTGACTTTGGAGTGGCCAGGGGGCTTGCCACAGAAACAGCTGGCGGGCTTGCCACAGGAACGGCCGGCGGACT